CAAGGCCCAGCCTGCGGAGCCTTAATCAGCAGTAGCAGGTGGCCCATGGTAGGAGCAGTGTCCCCACACAGAAGGCCTCTTCTGTTTGCCCACTGCAACCCTTTCCCATCCACTGGAGCCAGTCACGGTCACCAGTCACCCCTCACAGACCCCCAGCACACAGTCACAGGTCACATTACAAGAAGTCCTAAAAGAACCCCTCAGTGCTCTGTTAATACATTGGCCACCCCGGATGGATCCCTGGGGTGTGCCAGGACCTGTGCAGATCCCTTCGGCAGAGTCACCCCAGTCAATTCTCACTACAGCCTTGTGATCCCATTTTGCAGATGGAGAAACTGAAGCCCTAGCACAGTTCTGATGGCCAGAGAAGGGGAGATGGTTCTCCCTGAGCTGCCAGGGGAAGCAGTGGGGCGGGAGCCCCGCCTAACAGGCAGGAAGGGAGGGATGTTTCCCCAGAAGGGAAGGGTGTGAGCTACGAGGGGGAAGGAGCCGCTGTCTCACTCTGGTGACTGGGAGGGGAGCTGTTGCTGAGCAGGCTGGGGCCGGGCACTGCAGATGAAGGCTGCAAAGCCCGCCCCCAGGGGCTCTCAGCTGAGCTGGGCAGGGATGGGAAGCAAGGAATTAGTAAGTTAACTGTAGGATAACTGTGACCAGGGCCACAGTGGGATAAGGGGCCAGGGGATCCCATAAGGGGAGCAGCCTGTCCCCTAGGAGGAGGGTGGGGTGGGTGGCAGCTGTTGGGGAGGGCTTCAAAGAGGAGGTGACTTCTGACTGGCCTAGAAAGATGAGTAGGATTTTGCTTGGCAGAAGAACTAGAGTATCAAAGCATGGACCCTTCCAATGTGGGGTTTTTAGGGAGCAGCGAGACTGGGGAATGGTGTCAAGATGAGTAGGATTTTGCTTGGCAGAAGAACTAGAGTATCAAAGCATGGACCCTTCCAATGAGGGGTTTTTAGGGAGCAGCGAGACTGCGGAGTGGTGTCAGGAAAGGAGGGTGGGGCAGTGCAAGGAGGGCCTGGAGAGCCTCCCATCCAGAAGGGACCTCATGGCTGAGGGTGGGCTCTGTGCTGGAGGTGTCTGCACCTGGATCCCTGAGGGCTGGGGAGCAACTTCCTGCTCAGGGGGTAGGGAAAGCGTGGATTCAGAGAGGCTGAGGCACGTGCCCCAGGATGCACAGCCTGCTGGTGACTGAAGCTAGCTGCTCACCTGAGAGACCTGGACTTTATCCCGTAGGCCCAGGGGAACCATGGAAGGGTTTTAAAGTAGGGAACAGCGTGCTCAATTTAAAAAAGAGTTTTGCATTTTTAGAAAGAGGAACTCCGAGAATGATTAATACTTAACCCAGGGGCCTGAATCACCAGCAGGGAAATTGGGCCATGTGGGTGGGGGAAGAAAGAGGCTCCCTAGGGCCACTGAAGTTGTTTCATCCATGTGAGGGGTGGCCCTGGCACCCCATTCACACCTTCCTGGGCCGGGGACTGAACCAGAGGCATGGGGAGCCCCCAGCTGTGCCCCTGTACCCCGCTGCTGGACTGGGTGATGTGCCTGCCTTGGAAGCCCCACGGGTCTGGAATAGGAAGGGTAGGCAGTGCCGCCCCACCCCCACCCCACCCCACCCCACCGTGGTTGTTAGAGGGCACTGACTGTGCCCCAGGGAAGGAGGGCCAGAGGAGATGCTTTGTGACAGCCCCAGACCAGGAAACAGCCTTTGCCCTGCCCCCTCCTGAGACATTTCCTCCAGATGAAATCACATCCCCACCAGGGGAACAGGCCCCCATTGTGATGGGCTGGGGTCTCTAGAGAAAGGGTGCCTTTCAGACCCTTAAAAATAACAGCCCTGAAATTTATGAATTGGCATGGAGGGTAGAGTGGCCCATCCCCCCATGCAGACAGGCCCTGACCTGTTGGTGACCAGCTGGAGAATCTACTAGCCCGGGCGGGGAGGGGCAGCTGGTCCACCAGGAGGTCCACACGCATTCTGCTGCCCCACCCGCCCCAGCTGCAATCAGCTCTGGCATGCGTCCGTACAATTAGGGCCTCTGCAGACCTCCTCTCACATGCTCCTCACCAGAACTTCAGGAGGTGGGATAATTGACATTTTACAGATGAGGAAACTAAGGCACAACTAGTAAGTTACACAACTGGTGGGTGGTGTGGAGCCTGGGTTTGAAGCCAGCCAGCCTGAATTTTGCAGGGGTCAGCTAGCTCCAGGCGTAGGCCTGTCACAGGGTACTTGGTGGGGTCAGCCTGCAGGAGCCCTACCATGTGATCTAGGTGGGCCCTGGTGCAGATCGTGGCTGCTGGCCTCAGGCTGGTTGCCACCTGAGCAGGGGGTGGATGCTGGGGGAGAATAGGCTGCCGCTGGCCGTATCACTCCAGTGTCATGCCAGTCCTCGCCTCTGCAGAGCCCGGTGCCAGCTTGAGAGCTGGGGAGGGCGTGCAGGCTGCAGGGCAGAGGAGGGGTGCTCAGAGTGTGAGTTCGTGTGTGCTGGACAGGTGTTATGTGTGAACCGAAGGAGAGTTAGCCATTCTTGACTCCACATGGTGGAGAGTGGGGGTGAGGAGGGTGACTGGAAAGGCCATCCCGGGGTGTCCCTGAGAACAAGATGTCTGCGCTGCTGGCAGGGGCAGGACCCTCGCCCTCCAGCCCCTCTGGGCGGTGCCGCCCGCTCCTTCCCCTCCCTGTCCAGCCTGATTGGAGCAGGGCGCAGAGCTACAGCACCTGCTGGGACTGGGCTGGCCCCACCTCTCAATGCACCCCGTTTGGTAGAGGGGGCTCCTGGCAGCCCCTGACAGTCCCTGGAGCCCGACCCCATGCTCCACCTTACACTCCGTGAGCCACCCAGAGATGGGGAGGGGTGGTAGTGCCGCATGTTGGTAGCTCTGTCCTGTCCCACCCCTGCTGTCCCCCGTGGTACCCCAGTCCCCTCCCATCCCATCACTTTGAACCTGAACCGGTGCCGTGAGCCACTAGTCACAGACACTGCCGAAGCCCCTGCCCCCTACAGTCCACAGACACCCACCCCCAGCCACCCCACACTGTGGCTCCCTTGCTCTCCATCCCTGCTTCCCAGAATCCGTGCTCCGACTCCTCCTCAGGGAGAGAGTGGGATGATGTCACTTCCTGAGGGTGGGGGGAGGAGTAGGCACGACCCCGGCAGGCTAGCCCGCCAGCCCGCCAGCTCACTGGAGCAGCCCTGGCAACGGCTGCATGAAGTGGCTGTACCGGGGAGGAGGAGAGGGAGACGGACTGGGCCAGACATCCCGGCCAGTCACGTGGCCCCCGCCCTCTTGCCCACTCCGGGGGCTGTGCCCACAGTCTGGGGAAGACTTGGCCACTTCCTTCCCAAATGATGCTGGTCTCCTTGGACACACGTTTTCCCTGGAGCCGTCACTGGGGAGAGAAGGACCTGCTGCCTGCCCCTGGACCGGGTGCCATGTAAGCCTCTACCAGCGTTGAGGGCAGCTGAACACCAGCAGGGTGCCCAGCCCCCACAGCAGGGGTCTCTCTATGCAGTTCAGTGCAGGGTCCCCTAGAGCCCTTCATGGGTATCTCTGGGAACCATCCCCCCCCGGGGGAGCCTCCCACCGCACCTTTACTCTTCTTTCTGGGACTCTAAGGAGTGGGGGTCCTGGGTTCCTGGGCACTCCTCCTTGAGCTTGCTGGTGGCTAATTTGCTTTCAGCTACTTCAGGGAGTTGTCCTTGAGCTTGCTGGTGGCTAATTTGCTTTCAGCTACTTCAGGGAGTTGGGAACTGGATTGTAAAGGCTGCTTGGCACAGGGTGGGCTTGGGAGGTACAGTTGCTGGGAGGGTGGGTCACCCTGCGGGGCTCACCCACTGCTCTTCCAGCGATGAGGGGCAGGTGTCCTGAGCGGGAACTGGATTGTAAAGGCTGCTTGGCACAGGGTGGGCTTGGGAGGTACAGTTGCTGGGAGCCTCTACCAGCGATGAGGGGCAGGTGTCCTGAGCCATCCTCCTGATCCCATATCTCACTCATATTCTTTTTTTTTTTTTCTTTTTTTTTTTTTATCCCATATAGGGATGACCAGTAAGGGGATCTCAACCCTTGACTTGATGTTGTCAGCACCACGCTCAGCCAGTGAGCGAACCGGCCATCCCTATATGGGATCCGAACCCGGGGCCTTGGTGTTATCAGCACCGCACTCTCCCGAGTGAGCCACGGGCCGGCCCTCTCACTCATATTCATCCCTACCAAGAGGCATAGCTGCAGTTGGGAATTCTGTCTGACGGGCGCAAAACCAAGCCACAGGGCGTGTGTGCAGGGTTCCTGCAGAGCAAGAAACTGCAGACTTCATTCGGCAGATACTTACTGAACACTTACTGTGTGCTGGCCACTCCTCACCCTCCATGTCTGTCAGTCCCGGCCGACAACTGTGTACATGCCTTTTCTCCAGAGCCCTCAGCCTTCCTCCTGCCCTGCTGGGCTCTGTGCTGAGGGGCAGGCTCATTCTTGGCTAGGAAGCCCCTGCCCTGACCCCAAGGATTGTGTGCACTGGGTCAGGTCTCCTTGTGGAAAGTTGATAAAGGGGTTGGAGGCTGAGGGTCCCTCTGATCTCATGTAGGAGGAAAGGGGAGGTGAGTCCAGGTCTGAAATGGAGCTGAATAGTTACTGTTGGGGTAACCCCAGGCAGAGGCTGATTCCAGGGGGTGATCGCCAGTCCTGGGGATAGGAGAGAACTCAGAGGTAAAGCTGAAGCCAGTGTCGTGCGCTGAGGTTCTTTGTGTTGGCTCTGGGGGCTGGATAGGGCAGGAGGCGGGTCCTGCCCAGGGATGGGTCAGTATTTCTAGTGGCCTGGAGGCCCCTGGACCATTGGACATGGAACTGGCGGCCAGGGACAAAGATGCCTGTGCTACTTGCTACACAGGGGACTGTCCCAGTGGCCCAGGAGTACAGTGGTCCTGGGTGCTGCAGCCACCCTGCAGCTACAGGTCCCCTCTTTTCTTTCAGGAGGTGAGCGCCAGGCCCACTGAGCCTCTGCAGATCTGCCGCCAGCCATGCCCGGGATCGTAGTGTTCCGGAGGCGCTGGTCAGTGGGCAGCGATGACCTTGTCCTGCCAGCCATTTTCCTCTTCCTCCTGCACACGACCTGGTGAGTCTCAGGAGTCAGGGCTGCAGGCCTGGGTTTAGGGAGAAAGGCCTGGAAGGAAGCTTTCCAGCCATCTGTTCCTCCCTGCCCGGCCCAAGCCCTGGCTCTGTCATGCTCCCAGTTCCCAGGAGGAGGTGCCTGAAACATCAAGCCCCTTGGAGCAATACCCACATGGAACCCAGAAAGCCCTGCCAGCTGCCACAGGACCTGACCCCAGTGCTGGGGAGGTTGTTGCTGCTGTCTTCCATAGCTGACAGCTGGGCTTCCTCTCTCGCATCCCTGTCCCTGAGTCTCACTGGCCACCCACCCTCAGAAGTATTCGATGTCAGGTGGATGGCAGTCCCATGGGGCAGGTGCCTGCTGCTACCTCTCCTCCTGCTGACCCAGGCTGGACAGGGCCTGCCTGCTGGGGCCGTGTGGGGTGCAGGGGCCGCTGCCTCGCTCACATGGTGTCCTGCAGGTTTGTGATCCTGTCTGTGGTGCTCTTCGGTCTGGTCTACAACCCACACGAGGCCTGCTCCCTGAACCTGGTGGACCACGGCCGTGGATACCTGGGCATCCTGCTGAGCTGCATGATCGCCGAGATGGCCATCATCTGGCTGAGCATGCGTGGAGGCATCCTCTACACAGAGCCCCGCGACTCCATGCAGTACGTGCTCTACGTGCGCCTGGGTAAGGGCCACCCGCCTTCGGGGGGTTGCTCCAGACGACCCCCACCTCCAGTCTCCTCCTGTGCTCATTCATTCATTTAGTCACTATTTATTGGGCTTATGTTCTGAGCCAGGCCCTGTACAGACTGAGGTGCAGCAGCGAACTAAGACTTTCTGGGGCTTACATTCAGACCAGGGGCTGCAAACCATGGCGCCTGAGGACCAAACCCAGCCAACTGTGTGTTTTTGTAAATAAAGTTTTATTGGCACACACCCATTCGCTTATCGTTTCCAGCTGCTTTGGCACCATAACAGCAGAGATGGAGTAGTTGCTACAGAGACCGTAGGACCCCCGAAGTCCAAAATATTTGCTCTCTGTCCTTTTACAGAAAAAATTTGACAAACTCTATTGTAAACCAAGTGCACCTGCTTTGTAATCCTTCTCAGAACAGACCCACCCCATGGTGGGAAGCCTGCCAGGGGCCTGGACCACCAGCCTGTGTCCTCTTCCTGGGCTCAGTTTCCAGCCACTTCTCCTGGGCATTCCTACTAAGCACTTCTCTTGTGCTTCTGTGCGCTGGGCTAAGCCCTTACCCCCATGTTAACTCATAGGGAGGAGCTATAATTAATCTCATTTTATAGATGAGGAAACTGGGGCTCAGGGAGGTTAATTAGCACCCTCAAGTTCATATAACTAGTAAGTGCGTAGGTGTTAGAGCTGGAATTTGAACCCAGGCTATCTGGCTGCAAAGACTGGGCTCTTAGCTGCCACAGTACTGCCTGTGGAGCTGGGGCTTCCCATCCTGTCCCCTGTGAGGTCTTCTAATCTCTTCCTCCTACCTCACCCCTACCTCCTCCCCTCCAGTCTCACCCTGGGCCCAGTGCACAGGCCTGAGCAGGGTGCAGACCTTGAGCAGCTGGCTGCTGGGGCTCCCTCCTCCACTTCCTCCTCCTCTCAAGTTCCAGAGGTCTCTTGAGGGCAAATAGTGGTTTTCATGAAATGGACACGCTCTCCTAATTTTCTCATGGTCCTGTGATGTAGATGTTGTCACTCCCATTTTACAGATGAGAAAACGGGGGCTCAGAGAGATTAGATAACTTGCTCAAGATACGTTTGATTCCAGAGTTTATGCCTGTAATTCTGAAAGCCTGAAAGAGCAGGGAAGTGCCTCTTCATTGTCTGCTTTTCCAGATACCTTCTCAAGGAGGCATAGGGGATCCAAGGGCACATAAGCCAGAGTAGGTGATGGGCACTTGACAAGGGACTGAGCAGACTGGGCAGGGGTTGACGGGACAGAAGGGTGAAGGGACAGCCGTGGGCCTGAGAGGCAGAGGGGCAGTGGGAGTCTTATGCTGACCCCTGCTGCTGAGCTGGCTGGAGGTCCTGTAGTAGCAGGGGCCAGGCCTGGGTTCCTGGGCCCTTCCATGGCAGGCAGACAGTGGCCATCTTTCAGCCAGGGCCTGCTCTCCTTGTAGCCATCCTGGTGATCGAGTTCATCTATGCCATTGTGGGCATCATCTGGCTCACTCAGTACTACACCTCCTGCAACGACCTCACTGCCAAGAACGTCACCCTCGGTACGTCTGGGCCAGAGCATCAGCCAGCCCTAGGAGTGGAGGGGACGGGATCAGTTTAGAGAGGAAGAAGCCTGGGCACCACAGAGGGAAACAGCTTCTGAAAGGTCACCTGGCAGGTTGGTTGGGCAAGGCTGCTTCCTTCACCCATGTGGTCTGGTATGGGTGGCAGCAGGCGTGGAGCTGCCCGGGGCAAGAGCTGAGCCTCTGCAACACCTTCTTGGAAACCTGCAGAGCTGCCTGCTCTGTGCTGAGGGTCCTTGGGGTCACGGCTCAGCAAGGGCACAGCCACGTATGTGGACAGAGTCTGGGACAAGGGGCTTCTGAGCCTTGCTGTTGGGTCCCAGAAGCAGCTGGAGGTAGGGAGGCTCCAACACCCCTTACTTCAGATCTGGGGAACCAGGGAAGTGTCGCCAACACCTCTTGCTTCCCACTGCTGCCCCTGCAGGGATGGTCGTGTGCAACTGGGTGGTCATCCTCAGCGTTTGCATCACTGTCCTCTGCGTCTTTGACCCCACGGGCCGCACCTTTGTCAAGCTGAGAGCCACCAAGAGGAGGCAGCGCAACCTGCGGACCTACAACCTGCGGTCAGTTGGCTGGTGGGTGGGCAGTCCCCTAGTGGACTTTGCTTCCTTGTCTATAACTTGGGAATAATAGTGGATTCTCACTATGATGTTGTGAGATTTAAATGAGATGATATGTGCAAAGTGGTTAACGCGATGCTTACGTTTGGTAAGTTCTCAGTAAATGGTAGCTACTGTTACCATTGTCATCATCATTAGTGCTAATAATAATGATACTAGTAGGAGGAGACACTTATAAACCAAGCCAAGCATTGCATATTGTAAATTACAACTATTCCATTGGTAAGTTCTCAGTAAATGGTAGCTACTGTTACCATTGTCATCATCATTAGTGCTAATAATGATGATACTAGTAGGAGGAGACACTTATAAACCAAGCCAAGCATTGCATATTGTAAATTACAACTATTCCACGAGGTAGCTGTTACCATCTTCCCATAATACGGATGGAGAAACCCAAGACACAGAGAGGTTATGTGATTTGCCTGAGGTTACACAGCTAGTAAATGGTGCAGCTGGGAACTAGCCTAAGCAGTCTGGCTTTAGAGCCCTTGCTTAACTACTGCCTCTAGGATTCAGGGCTTGGAGGAGGTTAATCAAGGAAGGCTTCCTGGAGGTGGGCAGGAGGAGTGAATTTTGCATGGTGTTTTAAAGAAGTAAAGAAGCTGTGCCGTGGCAGAGAAAATGAGTGAGGGCATCCAGGTAGAGTCATAATAATTCCTGTTTATTGCAAGAAAAAGAGAGGGGAGCTTCCAGGGTGGATCACAGTAACTCCTGCTAATTGACCTTCTGCTATGAGTTAGGCCATACGCTGAGCCCTTTACACGATTAGTCCATTTAATCCTTTTGCTAACCTCAGTGCAGTTGTGAGACCCATTCTACAGTGAGGAATCCACATCCCAGAGAGGCCAGGTCAATTGCCCCAGGTCATGTTGGTGGGGCATGGAACTGGCACATCGTTCCAGCCCAGAGTAGCTAGCTTAGAGCCTTCACCCAGTGGGACAGGCTTCCCAGGCCCCCTGCCCAGCAGGAATTCTCACAACCCCACCCTCCTGCACCTCTACATTTGGCTTCCCTCGGACCTTTCACATCAGCTGGGCACTGCAGCCATGCCTGGGTTGGCCACTTCCCAGCACCAAATGTCAGGTCTTGGAGCCAAGGCCCTGGAGCCCATTTTCCCTCCTGGGTCATCTGGCCAGCACCCATCCCACTGTGCTCACTCTGAGCACATGCCCCCACCGACCTGCTTTCTGGGCTCCTTGGCCCTGGAAAAAACTCTTCCCTTTCTGAGTCATGGTGATTGCTTTTGGGTCTCAGGGCAGCCAGCGCCTTTGCAGTTGGAGGTTGGTGGTTGCTGTCATTTTAATTAGGAAGCTTTCCTGCGGTTTCTGGCCCCTTGAAGGTGAGTAAGAGCTTACAGGCTCTCTACCTGTTGTGGTTTCTCCAGCTCTTGTTTAGGGCATAAGAGGCAGCCTAGGCCATGGGATTTGCTTAATTAAGCCTGACCGCTCTCAGGCTGTTTTCCACTTGCCCTCTGCTCTGAAACAGTTTTTCTACAAGGGCTTTTTCAAGCCAGCAACTTCCCAGTGTGGGGACACACACACCCCTACTGCCCCTCACTGTCAGGTTATTTTGGTTTTGGGAAATTAGGAAGTTGTTTAAGTCCTTGGCCTTTTCTCCTTCCATTGAAATGTGTTGGTGGTGGTGGGGGAGGTATTCTCAGCACTGCTCCCTGAGAGCCTTGATCTTGAATTTTTGCAGAAGGAACATCTGCCCTCCCTTAACTTCCGTGAGCTGCTGAGCAGATGGCTGCTGGGGTCCATGAACTTTCTGTCCAGACAGTATGCATCTCCTGTCTTAGTCTGGGTAGCCTTACTGATGCACTAGACCAAACCTGTCACCTTCTCATTCACATTCCTGAAACCATCTGCCCCCTGGTGTGTATAACGGGTACTGCAGTGAAGTGTAGCGTCCGCACTTCCATCGGGTCAGAGGCCCAGCAAGAAATTCTCTTGGACCATTTGAAAGCCCAATTCAGTCATAAAACATTGAAGATGCTCTGGGGACTCAGCTTAGCCAGCACACTGTCCCTTCATCAAGCCCCTGGAAGGTGGGACATTGGTTTAGGGTATAAGGTTGCCCAAGTCCCTAAGCGTTGGTAGATCTCAGAAACAGCAATTCCCTTGTACCCTTTCCTAACCCACACCTGAAGCCATGGAAGACTGTACCCCCGTGCTCTCCTCCTTGTGGTCAGCTGCCTTGTGGAGCTGGGCTTGGGAAGTAGGCAATGGTCCTGAGCCACAGAGAAGAGCCAAGAGGCTCAAGGAGGGCCTGGCCTGTCATTCCTGATGGATGTTAAGTGCCTCAAGCACATTTGCAGGCCACCCTTGCCTTCTCCTGACACCCAGCATCAGACTTTTAAAGGGCCAGCCCAAAGCGCAAAAGCAAGCCAGCCCCTTTTTGTTCAGTTTTAACGTTGGATCTGTTGTCTTTATGCCAAAAACACACTGACTTCTGGGCACCCAGCATTAGATAATTGACCCATTGCCTCGCCTTTGGGTGCAGACTCCTGAATACCCTGATTCGCCATCTGAGAGGGCTGGGGGTGGGGGGTGAGAATAGGCAGGGAGCAACCATGCAGATGAGGGGCAGCAGCCCTCTCCCTACCTTGGTAACAGATTCAAGAAAGTGGGAAATGCAGAGCCACACTCAGCCCCGGACATTTCCTCTAAGTACAGAGTATACGAGTATCTAAAATCCTTTCCAAGGAAAAGCAGGTCTGTCTGATGGAACGAGGCAACAGAGAGGCCCAGCACCCTGCTGACATCTCCCAGGGCTCTCTTTGAGCCTTTGGACCCCTGAGCTGCAGAGTAGCCCTACTTTTGGCTCCAAGCTCTGAACCCCCAGGGCTTGCCCATGTTCAGTCTTCCAAAAGCCAGGGAGCAGGGGCCATCCCCTGCCGTGGCCAACAGCATACCATCTTAGGCCAGCAGGAGTCCCCCAGGGAGTGCCCCTGCTGGCCTTCAGCCAGGTCACTGGCCACCCAGATTTGGCTGTGCCTAGACCCTGTTCTTCCCCGGACCCTCCTGCTGAGGAGCCCTTTGGTAAGGTCCTGGGAACAGGCTGCCCTCTTTCCATAATGTCTGGGCTCAGTTCTCTGGTCTAGACCTCTGACCTTCTATACCGACACTCCCACTTTGCAGGCACCGCTTAGAGGAGGGTCAGGCCACCAGCTGGTCGCGCCGGCTCAAAGTGTTCCTTTGCTGCACCCGGACGAAGGACTCCCAGTCAGTAAGTACTGGGAAGTCGCTCCCCTGCTGCTCATGCCCTGTGGTCGGGTGATTCAGGAGCTTCTTGTTCCTGTGGCAGGGTCGGGTGGGGCAAGGCTGGTGGAAGGGAGCTGGGTATTGAGCATGAATAGGGGGAAAGCCTGCTCACATGAGGGTCTGGCATTCACTAGCGACTCCCTCCAGCACCCACTTGCTTTGTTAGGGGAACAGAAAGATGCGAAGACTGTGCACTGACCCCTAGAACTCATGTCTAGTATAGGAGAAGAAACACTCAAAAGTCAAGACAACCTGAAGACAAAGGAAAGCAGCAAATTACTCCGGAAGATCTAGTAAAGCCAGAAAGTGATTAGTACAGTCCTGATGGTGCACAGTCAGCCTTCAGCACCTGGGAGCTCTGTAGCTAGTGCCAAGGCACTGCTGAAGGACAGCTGGGTCAGCTGTGGGGCAGACCCTGAGGGGAGGGAAGGAGGCAGGTCCCTGCGGAGCCTGTAGCACTTGTCAAGAACCTTACAGATCATCTAGTCCCACCCCTCATTTTGCAGATCAAGCAGCTGAGGCCCAGGGAGGAGGAGTGACTTGCTTAGGGTCCCACAGCTAGTTAGTAGCAGAGCCAGGGAGGTCAGGAAACCGCTCCTCCTCTAGGCAGACAGCGAAGTGCCCCCCATGGAAGCCACCCAGAAGCCTGTGTGCTCCTTCCTTCCCATGGCCCCTGGTGTGCCGTGGAGTGAGTAATCAAGTGTAAGTAAGCCCCCGAGAATCCCTGGAGGGCAGGGAGCACCCCATGGGCCTTTTCATGCAGAGGGCAAGAGACAGCCCCCAGCAGGTGGGGGCATGCCCACTCTTCTGGGCCCACCGGCAGAGTCTGTTATCTGCTGGGTGAAGAGGCAGCACATGGGGGGGGGGTCCCGGAGCACGGGTTGTTCCTTAGACACCCACGGCCCAGAGGCTGGGTGAGTCCAGAGCACATTCTGATCAGCCTGTGCTGTGTTGCTCAAAAGTTTGAACTGATGCCAATATTTAAAAATCAGGGGTGTTTATATAAACTTCTGTGTGTCCGAATCTGGTCACTTGGGCCTCTAGCAGGGCCGGTTAGCTGGAGCTGAGTAGTAGCTGGCTGTTTGGTCCCATTAGATGGTAGGGTCTACAAGACTTGATATTTTTCTCTTACAAGTGTCAGATGCTTGAGGGTGAAACCCAGTGAGACAGAGCAAAGTGCCACGAGTTAGTTCCCACCTCAGCCTGTCCTGACAGTACCTTGTCAAGGAAGACCCTCTAGGCTCCCGCGTGGCTCAAGGCAGGGAAGATTCAGAGCACACAGCAGCCAGTAGGGCTTGCCTCCGACTTGATATTTTTCTCTTACAAGTGTCAGATGCTTGAGGGTGAAACCCAGTGAGACAGAGCCAAGTGCCACAAGTTAGTTCCCACCTCAGCCTGTCCTGACAGTACCTTGTCAAGGAAGACCCTCTAGGCTCCCGCATGGCTCAAGGCAGGGAAGATTCAGAGCACACAGCAGCCAGTAGGGCTTGCCTCCGTCCACTTTGCCTCCTGCCTGAGGCCCAGACATGGGCCGTCCTCAGGCCAGGGGCTGGAGGGAAGCCAGAGGGGCCAGGGGCCCAGCAATCACAGCCCTGCTCAGGTACATCGTAGGGGGTCTCTGAGCCAGCAGCCCACAGGCAGCCGGGGGAAGGGGCCTGAGACCTGGAAGGTTCCACAGAGCCCTTAGGGAGTCCTTCCAAGGTCACAGCTGGTGGGACGGAAGCAGCTGGGAGCTTAGTTTGGCTTCTCTGCTTGAGAGAAAGGCTGGAGGAGACAAGCTAGGACCTTCCAAGCCTTGCTTCCTAGTCTGGGGAAAGAGAAGAGTGGCTGAGGTTGACACGTGTGCAAGGTGGACAGTGAGTGCCACAGGACCACCGAGGAGAAGAGGGGCCGGGGGAGGAGGAAGCAGGACCAGTGTTGTCCACACAGCTCCTACCAGGTCTGCAGGGGCCCAAGCCCAGGACAGGGCCCTCAGGACCACATGGGGTCAGGCCCAGCTGGTGCTGCACAGGTATGGAGGTGCCCAGCACGGACACGCTGCTTCTCTAGCCTCTCAGCCCCAGGGGATTTACACCTAGTCTCTCGTCCTCTCTCCTGCTCCCCTGCCACCGCCTCCTGCCTTCCTGGACCTGATAGGATGCCTACTCGGAAATTGCCTACCTCTTTGCCGAGTTTTTCCGGGACCTGGACATTGTGCCATCCGACATCATTGCTGGCCTGGTGCTGCTCCGACAGCGGCAGCGGGCCAAGCGCAATGCCGTGCTGGACGAGGTGGGTACCCACCGCCGGCTCCTTGTCCAGCTAGCGCCCCTGCGCTCCCCTCATCCCCACACCCCCACTGCTGAGTGCTTGGTTCCCCAGCGACCAAACCGTGCACCGTCTAGGGCCCTGGAGGTTGCCTTTTGGAGCTTGCTCCTCTCCCATTCGCCAGCTCATCCTTCCAGCCAGCTGTTCATGACTATTGCTGGAGTGACTTCCCTTTCTGGTCTACGCAGCTGTGCGCTGCTCCTGGGGCCGGCCCACAAAGGGCATCTAACTGCAGGGCCCTCATAAGTGCTGCCAGCTGGGTGCATCAGCTTTCTGGATTTGCTGCTCCATCCCACCCCTCACCAATCCCAGTTAGGGTCCCTCAGCATCTCATATGAAATATCTTTCCTCCCCGGTGTGGGCTAGGAATGTCCCCAGGGATTTGATGCTTTGGATAGAAGGGAAGCAACTGGAATTATGGGGAAACCTCAGGTTTTGGAAAACTGGCCAGATCTTGGAGAGCCAGACGCCACATGTTCCTTTGGGCTTCTCAGGCCTTCAGGAAGCAGGCAGAGCCTGGGGCCTGGACCCCTTTCTCAGCCATGCAGCTGGGCCAGTACCCTTCTTCATGTGCCTGTTTTACAGGCAAACAATGATATCTTGGCCTTCCTGTCTGGGATGCCAGTGACCAGAAACACCAAGTACCTCGACCTCAAGAACTCGGTGAGTCAGAAATCACTTCCCAACCCACCTTGTCCCCAGTCCCCCTCTCTCTGCTGGAACAACCTAAGCACATCACCTGCCAACTGCCCCCACAGCATCAGCTGCACTCAGCTCTCCAGAGAGCCTCTCTTCTCAGATCATGCCCCCTCAAGATCCCTCACATCATGCTGTGTCTACAAGCAAAACCCCTGAATCCCTTAACCAAGTTCAGAGTCATTTGGTCCTGGCCTCTTGAGATTACCAAGTGCTTCACCAGGGTGAGCTGCTGTGATTATTGCTTCTGCTGTGGTTGTAAAAGATAGCAGGGTGTAGATAGCACTTTGGTATCTGAGATTTTTCAAGTACCTTTTGTAGAAATCCAGTGTTACAGGTAAAGATGGTGCTGATCCTGTGGCAGGGGGAGCCCCAGCACAGGGCACTGTGCGGCCCAGGCTGAAACCATGACCGGCTGCAGAGAGAACCCGCCTGCCTTGGAAAGCAGACTGATGTGGGTGTGCACCTGCTCCACTACTATCCCTGTGACCCTGAGCAACTCCCTCCTCCCCTGTGGGCCTGCTCCTGCATCTGCACAATGATGCTGGACACACCTTCCACCCAGAGCTGTGGTGGGAGGAGATGAGCCGTGCTAAGTTCAGTTCCTAGCACAGAGCTGGTAAATGGTAGTGCCAGTCAGGATGCTGCTAGAAAGGGTTCACTCTCTTAGAAATCTCAGTCCTTTAGAGATGCCTGAGTTCTCCCTGTCTACGTTTATGTCTTCCCTAAGAACAGCCACGTCCAGAGCATGTACCCAAACCAGCCCATCTCTTCTTCCCAGGGCCTGTCCTGGCTGTTCTTCAATTACCCCTCCCCTCTCCCCGCCACTGGGCAGAGGAGCAGGGGCAGGCAGCGTGCCCTGTGGTGCCGGGGCCCACACCCACCACCTGGCAGAGGCTGCCAGCACCCTGCCCCGCCCTCCCTGTGGCAGGGAGCTCCTGGCACACAGAGGATAATTACCTTTCCAGCTCATTACTGAAGAGCAGACGGAGCCAGCCTCTGGGTCCTGATGGAGGTGCAACCTGTTTCACTTCCCGAGATGACTAATCCCCCTCCTTAACTTTTACAAGGTGACTAATTCCTTCTAAGTGCTCTGAGTCCTCCCAGTGGCTCCTGGAGCATGGCGCCTGGAGCACTTGGGACAGACTGGAAGCCACTTTGCTGGGACACCTCTGCCTCCTGCCTCCCTCCAGCCCCTCAGGCTGACCACAGCTGGTGTCAACAGCAGCCACTCTGCCTCAGACATCCTGGGTTTCAGACTGACGCCTTTCTCTGGAGAGATCCCAGTCTCCCCGAGATGTGGCCCCTCTCCAAGGCTCCCTCCCCAAGCCTCAGGAGCCTCGGGAGCCATGACTCAGTGACTTAGGTGATTCCACGAGTCAAGTTGGGGTCTCTCTCTATTTGCAGACAACCTCAGGGCCAGAGAGACATGGCCACTTGCCTCCTCGCCCGATGACTCAGTGACTTAGGTGATTCCACGAGTCAAGTTGGGGTCTCTCTCTATTTGCAGACAAAGAACCTCAGGGCCAGAGAGACATGGCCACTTGCCTCCTCGCCCACATGCCCACCCTGCTGCCCATGTCAGGGCCACCCCCAGCTGGAGGGCCAGGGCCTCTCAGGGTTAAATTTTCCCAGCAGCCAAGTCCCTTGCCAGGGCCTGATCGCTGAGGCCGGGTGATGGCCACTCACACCCCGCACCCTCTTTCCTTCTCAGGAAAACAGGCAAAGGAAATCGATCCAGGGCTCCAAGTGATTTTCTGTCCCCATATCATTAATTCTGAGGTTGGAGCAACAGGACAGGTCTCAGGAGGATTTGTGCCCTGGTTGCGTGGAGATAATTAGGGAAATGCAATTACCGTCTGGAGGAGTGTTGCCCGGGGGTCCCTTCTCCTGGGCTGGGGCTCCACACCTCGGGAAAGAGGGCACCAGCAGCCCCTCCCAGCTGGGGCAGATCTGCAGGCTCCCACCAAGGGGTGCTGCTGGCCCTGCGGCTGCAAGCAGGAAGGGCAGGAGGTGACTGCCTTGTGCCTCCTCTCTTCCAGCAAGAGATGCTGCGCTACAAAGAGGTCTGCTACTACATGCTCTTTGCCCTGGCTGCCTATGGATGGCCCATGTATCTGATGCGGAAGCCCGCCTGTGGCCTTTGCCAGCTGGCCCGGTCCTGCTCGTGAGTACTCCTGTCCCACCCCCCAGCCATGACAGCACCTCCCCTTCCGTGGTGTGTGTAAGGAGGGGCTGAATGAAGCCAGGTGCCCTGGAGGCTGCCCTGCCTCCACCTCCCCTTTGGCCTGAGCTGCCTCTCTCCTGCACTTTCTCTGGCCCTCAACCTTTCTCATTCTACATTATCCCTAGACAGTGAAGCTGTGGGCTTTAGAATCACACGGTTCTGGGTTTGAATCCAAACCTCATCACTTGCAGCTTTGGGCAAGTCGGTCTACCTTTCTGAGCCTTAGTTTCTTTATCTATGAAGTGGGGATACCTCACGGAATTTTTTGGAGAGGACTAAGTGAGATATTGTGAAATGTCTACACTGCTGGTTCCCTTCCCCTTCCTGCTCTCCCTTGCTCTCTTTCTCTCTCTCCCTTCCCCCTCAAACATTACATTCTGCCCACATTTTCCCTTCTCTTGGTTCCCCTCCCATGCTCTGCCTTTCTGGAAGAAAGGACTTTCCTGGTAGGGAGGCCCAATCCTTAGAGGTCTCTGGACAGGCACCAAGCAGGCCCTATCGTGAAAGGCTCCAACCCCCTTCATAGGAAGCTGGGAAAGGCCTCAGCCCCAGATCTGGCCTGCAGCCTGGCTCTGCCCTCAGCCCACCGCCTGTGGGCTGGGTGGACCCTGCTCTAAGTGGGCCAGAAAAGGGTACCAGAAGGCTGCAGGAAGAGCCCCTCCCTGTCCTTGGTGTCTCCACCCTGAGCCCATGCCAGGCAGAAGGAGGACAGCTCCCTGGGCTCCTGTTCTGGAAAGGCTGTCATGCCAGGCATGGCTTCTGTCCTTGGGGTCCACAGCAGCCATGCCCCTCTGCAGTGCCCTCCTTTCCTGGTTGGCTCTCGGGATTGCATTCTCACCACCCCCCAGTGGCTGTCAGAGAGGACCAGGACACCTCATGCCCCCTTCCCATCTTTGCCAGCTGCATATGCCTGGCATTCTTTCCTGTGTTCTTGGGCTCCCAGCGGTGGCTAAGGACTTTTCAAAGTGAGCACCGGGCTGGGAGTCCTGAGAGCTGGGCTCTGGCAGGTCCTGCTCCTCAGCTTACTCGCAGATGGGGACATCTCTCAGAGCCTCTTTATCCTTACCTGTAACAGGCAGCATCTGTCCTGCCTGCATATAGGCTGTTTCAGAACCCAGGGAGTCACTGGCAGGGAGGGCGCTCTCTGCTCTGTGGGTGGGAAGGGTACTGGTGTGTGCATCAGGCTTCTTGGTGCTGCTGAGAGAGTCCCTGCCTAGAAGAACCAGGTGCCTGTGTGATGGCAGCCCTGAAGCCCAGGCCTGCAGCCATGGGTGTCAGGACAGAGGCCAGAGGGCCGAGAGCCTGTTGCCCAGTGCCCTGTGCCCTTTTCAGTGTCCAGCCTGGCCACAGCAGCTGTGCTCCGGGTGCCAGCTGGAGAAAGGAGGGCTGCCCACTGCCTTGGGCCCAGGCCGTTCACCTGGCAGTGGTTCTCCCATCCCACGCAGAGCACAACAACGCAGGCTGGCACTCAGGCTCCCAGGCCCTCAGATCACTGACGCAGAGGCAGCCCTCTCACTGGAGAGAGGAGACCACCACTTCTGGAGGGCCTGCTGTGTGCCAGGTCCCTTCTGCATCTCAGGCCTTTAACTCACACCAGCCTTGTGAAGGAGCTGTCAGCACCTCAGTCTTACAGAAGAGGAAATGGGGACTTAGGACTGCTCAGTCCCTCTCCAGCCCTCACAGCCAGAGAGTGGCCATCTGAGCCAGGGTTCAAACCCATGTCCCCAGTCTCCAAAGGCCACGCTGTCACAGCCTAATGCTCAGCTGATGCTGGAGAGAGGGGATAGCTGCCTGAGAATAAGTGCTCGGGTCCCCAGACTCAGGCCTGTACCACTTGACCCTGCAGCAGCGGGGCTTGCTCAAGGCCAGTGTCCAGTGTGCATGGGGTGCCCCACCCCTATGGGCTCTCCCTGTGCACATGGGGTGCCCCATCCCCAGGCCCTGTGGCTTTCTCAGCGAGGCCTCTCCCCATTGAGAAGTGTGTAACAGTGTTGCAGATGCTGCTCTGAGTGAAGACAAACTACTCAGCAACACTGAAATCCAGGTTTCCTAATAAAATCTCAGCTGTCATCTCATGACCGCTGGCAGGGCCAGTCATGTGCTCTCAGGTGCCGGGTGCCCGATCTTTTGGGTGCTGGCTCCCTCTGATGGCTGGAAGAGAAGCTGCACCCCCTAACCAGGCACCCTGCTCAGATGCTCCCCCATTCGTCACTGCGGGGAGCCCACCATGTGCTGGCACTTTTTTGGTGCTGAGGATATAGCTGTGTGCAGCACAGAGCAAACCCTGTCCCGTGGAACTCACTGCCTAGTGGAGAGAAGTGGATGACACACAGACAAGATAAGGAGATAGATAGCATGTGGGCGCAGATGGGTCTTTGGAGAAACATAAAAGCGGGGTGCCTGGTCGGGGTAGGGATGCTGGGGAGGGGGTCAGGGGAGGACTGACTATGTGGGATAAGGTGGCCAGGGTGGACCTCACTGTAACACACATTTGAACAGAGGCCTGAAGGATGTGGGGACACAAGCCATGTGATCCCCTGCCGAAGAGCGATTCAGGCAGAGGGAACTGCAGTGCGAAGGCGCCGAGGCAGGACTCTGTCTGCGCGTCTGAGGACAGGCAGGATGGCCAGAGTAGCTGGAGTGAGGCAGGGAGTCAGAGGCAGCAGGGCAGAGAGACCAGGGCCAGATGGGGTAGGGCCTTTGGAAGGACTTGGGCTGTTACACTGGACAAGAAAGGCGTCGCAGTAGGGTTTTAAGTGGGAAAGAGACAAGGCGTGACTTAGAGGGTCATTCTAGCTTCTGAGTTGAAGACATAGGGGGCAAGTGCAGATGAGGGGCACCAGCCAGCAGGCTACTGCAACACTCCTGCTAAGATCATGGGGCAGGGGAGGTGGGGAGGGTGGTTCTGTGTTTGACTGGTGTGGGCTGAGGGGAAGGGGGCCAAAGGTGGCTGCAAGCTGCAGCTGAGCAACCACAGTGGGGGAGAGGGAGCCTCAGGAGCATGCGGTGTGGGCAGCCAGGGACTGGGGTTGGGACCTGGAAGGTGTCAAAAGGTGGCTGCAAGCTGCAGCTGAGCAACCACAGTGGGGGAGAGGGAGCCTCAGGAGCATGTGGTGTGGGCAGCCAGGGACTGGGGTTGGGACCTGGAAGGTGTCGGGCATCCGAGGAGAGATGTCGAGTAGGCAGTTGGATGGAAGCGCCTGGAGGTCAGGAGCAGGCCTGGAGGGGACTCCTGGGCACGCTGATGGCCTCTAGAGTACAAGACTGATTGTGTAGACAACCCAGTGTGGCTGGAGGGAAGGGGGGTTCAGCCTGGAGCCAAGGGGCCCACCAGCCCAGAGGAGAGATCTAGGACAGGAGGGACCTCCAGCTGAAGGAGGAGAGGGAAGGACCCATGGGTCAAGTGCTGCCAAGAGGCTGTATAAGAGGAAGCCCAGGACCTGGTTGGTGGATCTGGTAATATGGAGGTCCCCAGGGACTTAGCAAGGACAGTTTGGAGAGGGGCTGGGGCTGAAAGCCCACTGGAGCTGTTTGCAGAGAGGATAGGAGGAGAACCTCCATCAGGGGTTCGCTGGCCCTGAGCCTGCTGCCACCCCATGGCAGGTGCTGCCTCTGCCCGGCCCGGCCCCGGTTTGCCCCTGGAGTCACCATTGAGGAAGACAACTGCTGTGGCTGCAATGCCATCGCCATCCGGCGCCACTTCCTGGACGAGAACATGACTGCTGTGGACATCGTATACACCTCCTGCCACGACGCGGTGAGGGTCCAGGCAGGAGATAGACAGGGCTGGGCCCAGTGTCAGGAGCAGGCAGCTGAGGGCCCAGGGTACGAAGTTGTCCTTGCAGGCCAGCAAGAGCCCCTGGCTTGGCTGGCATGGGCCGGCTGCAGTGCTGCTGCCTACAGCCCTCCCCTAGCTAGACAGACCAGAGGTGGACCCCTGTCCCCGTGCCCTGGCCTGCACCACCACTGGGGCTGTGAAAATGGACACCAACCCCATGCCCAGTGTTGGGGTTTTCTGGCCCCTGCTGTTTGGGGAGAGGAAACACGGGATAAAACCATGAAGCCTCAGGGAGGCAGTGAGACATCTGCACACAGCAGGTGGGACAGTGGCCCCTGGGGCTGCCCACGTCACAGGGGAGCTGGGAGGGCAGGGCAGCTCTGGGTGCTGGGGATGGGAGGGCTCTACAGTGACCCCTGGGAGCCCGTCAGCCTTGCAGGCATCAGGGGCTTAGTGATCAGTGGAGCTGTATTTCCTGTCCAGGAAGGAGGCCTGCTTAGGTCGCTTTCCCCAAGGCTGGCTCCTTCCAGGGGCCACTTAGGCTCATGAGCTACCCGCCTTCTAGGTCTATGAAACGCCCTTCTACGTGGCAGTGGACCATGACAAGAAGAAGGTGGTGATTAGTATCCGGGGAACCCTGTCCCCCAAGGTACACAGTGCATGGCTCCCAGCCCACCCCGTGGACCCTCCCAGCCCCCAGGGGCCTGCCTCCCTCTCCCTGGACCATGACAAGAAGAAGGTGGTGATTAGTATCCGGGGAACCCTGTCCCCCAAGGTACACTGCATGGCTCCCAGCCCACCCCGTGGACCCTCCCAGCCCCCAGGGGCCTGTCTCCCTCTCCCCATCCTCCTCAGCCTGCCCCTCACCTGTCTCCTGTCTCCCCAAGGATGCCCTGACCGACCTGACGGGTGATGCCGAGCGCCTCCCTGTGGAGGGGCACCATGGCACCTGGCTGGGCCACAAGGTACCCGCCTCATGCCCCCTCGCGCCTCACCTCTCCTCCCCTGCTGGCATGCAGATGCTTCATGGGGGGTCCTCCCTGCTCACTGGGCTCCCTGGGAGAGATTGGTCAGAGAGGTGTGGATTAGTCCAGAAGGTCCACCTCGATCCCCCTGTTGGGACCCCAACAGCCCTGCCCAGCCCAGATCCTGTCCCCAGAAGAGCCTGAGGAGGCTGCTGGGTAGAGATCTCACCAGTTTGTATTAGACACACCACCCCTCTGAGCCTCAGTTTTCTCATCTGTGAAGTGGGAATGATGTGATCAGAGTGTCCATCAGCCCCGGCAACTGGGTCATTGTGAGGACCAAAGGGGAAACTGAGCAGGACAGGGTTAACGAGCTATGGGCCACCATGGTTTTGCTGGTCAACACCCCCTCTGTTCCTCCTTACCCAGGGAATGGTCCTCTCAGCTGAGTACATCAAGAAGAAGCTGGAGCAGGAGATGGTCCTTTCCCAGGCCTTCGGGCGAGACCTGGTGAGGCGTTTTCCATGCCACCGAGCCCCCCAACACCCAGCCCTCCCCTGCCTGCAGCAGAGGAGAGAGCAGAGGCTGGCTGGATGGTGGAGCCGCCCACCTCCCCCGCAGGCCAGGCTCTTATACCTTTGACCCCTGGCTCCCAACCCCCTCCTCGCTTGGTCCTTCTGACCCCCTCCTTTTTGTACCAGCTGCTCATGGGCATCCTGCTTAGCCCCGCCCATAGTCTCTGAGCACCTGCTCCATGCCAGGCGCTAGAGGTACAGATGATTCAGGCCAGGGGCTTAGAAGCCTCGTAGCTGCAGAACTGTTTGTCAGAAGGAAATTTTATGGAGCAGCTCAAAATATAGAGCAGAATGACAAAGAAAATAATGACAGAGCAGATAGAAGGGGCACTGCTCTGCTTGGGGGCAATCTAAGCCTGCCTGTTGACCATTTCCTGTGCAGGCAGTTCCTGAGGTGCTGCCGGCTGCTCTTTCCAAAGCAAAGCAGTCCCTGGCTTCAGGAGACTCCAGTCTAGTAGTCAGGGTAGAGAGATGGGGACAGATAACCAAATGATTATGATAGAGTGTAATTGCTATAGCGATGCACAGTTTTATCCCAGGTACAGATGCAACGCCTAGAAGGGAGTGAGCCACTCCTGGAAAATCAGGGAGGGCTTCCCCGAGGAGGTAGCCTCTGAGCAGGGTTTTAAAGACTAAATAGGAGTTCATTAGAATAGTCTCCCTGAGAAGTCACTCTGTGGGGACCTAGCTTGGCTCTCCCTCTGCTCCAGCATCCGCATAGCACAGATATGACCCCAGGACTCTGGGAAGACCTCTCTGACTGCTTGGTGTCAGCTAAGACAGCAGGGCAGGCAGCAGGGTGGGGCTCTCAGGCTTGTCTCGGTCCCCAGGGCCGCGGAACCAAACACTACGGCCTGATTGTGGTGGGCCACTCCCTGGGCGCAGGCACTGCTGCCATCCTCTCCTTCCTCCTGCGCCCGCAGTACCCGACCCTCAAGTGCTTTGCCTACTCCCCCCCAGGGGGCCTGCTGAGGTGAGCAGCCTGGGGCCTCAGAGCTGGGCAGGTGGGACTGGTGGGGCTGAGGGCTGGCTGCCTTTGGACTGGGCAGTGTGGCTTCGGATCACAGGGAGGCCTGGGGATGGCCTTACCAGTGGAGAGTGGAGGTGGGATGGAGGTTCTGTAGAAAGCCCTGTGGACCCCAGAATCTACCCCTGGCAAAACCTTGCCGGTAGGAAAAGCAGAACAGGGAGCAGGGAGCCCAGCCTGGCACCTGCAAGCTCCCAGCTCTGACCCAGGACGCTGTACCAGGGGGCTGCTCCTGGCTGAGCCCCCACTCTGGAACACCATGACCCCTTCCCCCTTGGCCTTGGCTTCCACCTCGGCTTCCCTTGCAGCGAGGATGCGATGGAGTACTCCAAGGAATTTGTGACTGCTGTGGTTCTGGGCAAAGACCTCGTCCCCAGGCGAGTCACTCCCTCCTTCCGTGTCTTGTGCCTGAGCTGTTCCTCCCTCCTCCAGGTCTCACCCCACTTCCCAGCCCCCGTGTCTCTCTCACTCAGATTCCCATCTCGCGAGGGACCCGCACTCCCTCCTTCCGTGTCTTGTGCCTGAGCTGTTCCTCCCTCCTCCAGGTCTCACCCCACTCCCCAGCCCCCGTGTCTCTCTCACTCAGATTCCCATCTCGCGAGGGACCCGCCCTCAGTTGCCCAGTGGTGAGGACAAGGTGAAGGCAGGCGCTGTGCCTGCCTGTCCCCTCCTCTCCTGGGCCCTGCTCTGCTGGGCCACAGACCCCCCACCCCCAACTCCTGTGACCCTGGCTGGCTTGTCTTTTGTTCCTGGGGGCTGGGCGTGTACCTGCCTCCACTGCCCCTCACCCTGCACCTTTCCCAGACACCAACCAGGCCAGGCTGACAGCTCCGTCTTGCTCCGCTCCCCGCAGGATTGGCCTCTCCCAGCTGGAGGGCTTCCGCAGACAGCTCCTGGATGTCCTACAGCGAAGCACCAAGCCCAAAGTGAGCTCCCACCCAGCACCCTGGCCTCCCTGGGCATCTTGTCCCCTGCCCTTGTCCACCGCTGGTCCCTTGCAACAAACACAAGAAGCCTCAGCCATTTGATTTGTGGGAGAGAATGACACTGGGGACCATCTATTCTGCCATCTCGACCAGAAGTCCTCCCCAGCCATTTGAGACCAGGGCTGGGGTACAGCTGGTGTCCTGAGAATTTCAGGCTATGAGACCCTCAGCATCTCCAAGCTCAACCCAACCAATACCTGTCATTGTACGGATGGGGAAACTGAGGCCCAGAATGGGAGGGACTTGCTTTTGCTCACATGACAAGTTATAACCAAATCAGGACTGGAACTGAGGGGCTCCCATCACACAGAGCTGCCTCAAGTCAGAAGAAAGCATTCCCCGAGGCTTAGTGCTTTGAGTGGTGAAGGGAAGGCCTCTTCCAAGGCCTGCTGAGATGCCCCGGCTCAAGGCAGGCTGGTAATGATCAGTGGAGAACGCCTGTGTACAGTTTGTTCTGATTTTCTGCTGTGGCCAAGAGGAGTGGGTCAGCTCTTCCTAATCCTCATCGGGTCTTTGGAGGACACTGGTGGTCTCTTCCGGTGGCAAGTTGGCCTCTGGCATGCCAGGCCACGTGGGGGTGGGGATGCTGTGGCCAGGCTCCCTGAGGCAGGCCAGGTGCAAGAGGAGGCAGACGTGGACCAGCAGGTCCTCTGTGTGGTCACCCTCCATTAGCTCCCTCCCTCAGTGGGCCCTCACTCCGATTCTGTCTCAGCCCAGTCTGGACTGTTTCCAGCTTTGGTGCTCATGACTCCTCTGGCATGGAGTGCCCTGGGCCAGGTACCAGGTGCCAGGCAATGGGCAGAGCAGCCAAGCCTTAAGGGACTGTGCCTGGAGGAGCCTGGTTCTGGGGAGGCAGAACTGCTCCTAGCAGACCCAGTCCTGGGCATGTGTCAGGCCCCGGAGGCAGGTGGCTGGGAACTAACCCAGAGGCAGCCAGGCCTGGTGGGTACAGCTGGACTGAACTTAGCGGTCTGTTCTGCCTCCGACTTGCAGAGTGACCTAGAGCAAGTTCCTTCCCCTCACTGGGCCTGTCTCCCCATCCACTAGATGAGGGGTTGGCAGACCAGCCAACCCCTTGCCAGCCCTGAAATTCAACAATTCCATGTCATCTGTCCTTGGCATCTTATTGGCCATCTGGCCACCGTACACCTCAGCCACTGCCTCTTCAGGTGGGCACCGACCTTTAATGCTCTGGCCACTGCCCCTCCCCTGCCCTGTCGCCATCCCCCCTCCCCTCTCTCACCTGTTGAGCCCTCCTTCTGAGCACCCCCTGCCCCTGCCCACCTAGCCAGTGCTGCTGAGCTCTGTCCCCATCTCCCCCATGCCCCACACAGTGGCGAATCATCGTGGGGGCCACCAAATGCATCCCCAAGTCAGAGCTGCCCGAGGAGGTGGAGGTGACCACCCTGGCCAGCACGCGGCTCTGGACCCACCCCAGCGACCTGACTATTGCCCTTTCGGCCAGCACCCCACTCTACCCACCTGGCCGCATCATCCACGTGGTCCACAACCACCCCGCAGAGCAGTGCTGGTAGGTGCTGCCCAGGGGTCCCGCGTCAGCTGCTGCAGGTGCAGTATCTGGGGTAGGGGCTGTATCCTCCAGGGACAGTGGCGGGCAGGGCTGGCCTTTACTCAGTCATCCCTCGGGACAGCGGGCCAGATTGGGAGACTGGTCCAGGGACCCCATAGAGGGGGCTTCCCCAGCTCTGGGCCCTAGAAGTAGAACAAAAGGCCAGCCCAGAGCAGGACTCCAGGCTCCTATCGACAGTCCCAGCCTTTGCCCCAGGTGAGTCCTTCCCTGGTGTCTCCTGGGGCAGCTCTCCCCACTCATGGTTCATGTAAAAGTGGATGCCCTGGAGGGGTCACCCATAAGGCCCTGGCCATCTCATACCTCCATTGTCACTTGGCGTCACCGAGGGGATTAGTTGGCAGACAGCTGTGAGCCAGGCAGGAGGACAGGAGTGGGCATGTAGATAGACTTCGCTTCATGCTCTTAGCAGGTGGGGCCCTGCCCAGGGTGGAGCAGGTGTGGCCTGGGCCAAAAGAGGGTAGAAGGCTAAGTGGGGACTGTGGCCAAGGCTCAAGGGCAGCCGTTCCCAGGCTGAGGGCAAGGCAGGAGCAAGCCCCAGGCCTAGGGCCACAGCCCTGCTGGGCAGGTTGGGCAAGGGCCAGGCTGCCTCCCCTGCCCCCCAACTTCCCTCTGGACCTGTGTCCCTCTCAGCTGCTGTGAGCAGGAGGAGCCCACGTACTTTGCCATCTGGGGTGACAACAAGGCCTTCAACGAGGTGATCATCTCGCCGGCCATGCTGCACGAGCACCTCCCCTATGTGGTCATGGAGGGGCTCAACAAGGTGAGATTTCTGTGGGGAGCAGAGCAGCTGCCGCCTCGTCAGAGCCCCACCAGTCATACCTGTCAGGTTGGATCATGGTCCCCCCTTTACAGACAAGGGCGCTGACTCTCAGAGAGGTTGGGCGACTCGGCCAGAGTCCCCTGCTGGGCTCTGGTGGGCCCAGAGAGCCCAGCTCAGGTGATTGACACACCCCGGGCTTCTACATCACCGCGCATCTGCAATGGGGAGGAGCTTAGGAGACTCCCAGGGACCTGTCCCTGAGGCGGGCTAAGCTGCTCTGTGGAGTGAAGCAAGCCCCAGGCTCCCCTGAGGAGCAGGCGCCTTAGGAGGAGGATGGTGGCACCCGGCTGACCCCAGCAGGCTGAGAAGCCTGGGACGGGCTCCTGCCCCACACCAGCCCAAGGGCTGGACTTGCTACCCCTTCTTCAGCATCCCCCATCTTGTCTCCAGGTGCTGGAGAACTACAATAAGGGAAAGACGGCCCTGCTGTCCGCCGCGAAGGTCATGGTGAGCCCCACCGAGGTGGACCTGACTCCTGAGCTCATCTTCCAGCAGCAGCCGCTGCCCACAGGACCACCCATGCCCGCCGGTCTTGCCCTGGAGTTGCCAGTCACAGACCACCGCAACAGCAGCATCAGGTGGGTCTTGACCACCCCCAGCCCCGCCCCAGGGCGTGTGTGCAGGGACCGTGTATACTGTGTGCATGTGTATACTGTGTGTATACTGTGTGCATGTGCATTCTGTGCACATTCTGGGCCCATGTATGTTCACGCAGCTCTGCGTACGTGCACAGGAGAGATCAAACTTGCCCCCTTTGCTCAGGATCCCTCCCACTCTGCTCCACCTGTCTCCAAGTCTGCTGTCACTGAAGCCAACATGGGCCAGGGGACATCTAGGCACATACAGACCCATAGACCCTGGGCCACAAACACACAGATTCACTCATACTCACTTAGACCCAAACCAACGGATGGACACCCTTATACTTACACACATACCCCTATGTATTTGTAGTGAAGCTCACGCAAGCACATACGCATGCACACAGTTATTAGTTTTAAGTGCACAGACTGCCCCGTACAGACATGCACATGAACAGGACACACATGCACATGGACACACTTGAACAGGCAGACATACATGCGAACACATGAATGTACCTGTGCCCAGACCCAGACACACAGGCACATGGACACACCCAGACTGGCTGACATACACAGACATCTGGTCTACATGCTTGTCACATAAACAGAGGCATGCACACGTGCTCGCAGACTCACACACATGGAGGCCGCAGACACCCCCCATATTCACACCTACTCTTCTGGGGGCATCAGGCTCTTCCAGGGGAGGATCGTTCTGCTTTCTGGGACCCTTCCTGCCCTCATCCTGTGCCCTTGGTCACAGATCTGGCCAAGAGGCTGCTGAGAAGGGTGATAGCTGCTTCATGGCCCTCAGTGGGGACCCCTGGACATCTCTCCCTGCCATCTGTGCCTTTCCTGTGGCAGCAGCATGAGTGGAGGGGGCCAGTGTCCACTCTTGGCCGCAGTGACTGCTGCAGCCACCTACTCCCCCATCCTCCACTCACTCCCTGCAGGCTGGCCTGCGGAGCAAGGGGCTCTGGGGTCCCCAGCCAGCAGAGGGCTACACCCACAGGAGAGGCGGGAGGATCCCCAGTATGAAGAAGGCAGTGATGGGAGTCCTGGGCGTGGGGTGGGAGCAGTCGGGGCAGCTCTGGGCAGTGCCCTCCCCCTGTCCTGCTTCCCTGCCTCCTCCATCTCTCTTGTTCCACCTTGGCCTCAGGAGGGACCTAGAGCAGCCAGTCTCTCTGGCTTCAGTCTCTCATCAGTATGGTGACAGGAGTACTGTGCAGGGGACTCCAGCTGTGCTCCTACTGGCACCCCTACCCTGGCTCAACCTAACACTGAACCTTTTGTCTTCTATTTTGGGTTCTTGCGATTTATTTTTTTAAATAAAGTTTCCCTGTCCCAAACCACTCAGTGATCACTTGAGTAACTGTACCCTTGTCCCCCTGCAAGTTCCTTCCCAACAGGGAGTTGGGGAGTCTGTCTCCTCTGCCTCTTCTGGGTCTTACCCTGCCCTGCCCTTCCTCTGCAGGAGCAAGTCCCAGTCCGAGATGAGCCTGGAGGGCTTCTCAGAGGGGCGACTGCTGTCCCCAGTGGCCGCCGCGGTGGCCACCCGCCAAGACCCCGTGGAGCTGCTTCTGCTGTCCACCCAGGAGCGGCTGGCAGCAGAGCTGCAGGCTCGACGGGCACCACTGGCCACCATGGAGAGTCTCTCAGACACGGAGTCGCTGTACAGCTTCGACTCACGCCGCTCTTCGGGCTTTCGCAGCATCCGGGGCTCACCCAGCCTCCATGCTGTGCTGGAGCGCGATGAGGGCCACCTCTTCTACATCGACCCTGCCATCCCTGAGGAAAACCCGTCCCTGAGTTCACGCACCGAACTGCTGGCGGCCGACAGCCTGTCCAAGCACTCGCAGGACACCCAACCTCTGGAGGCGGCCCTGGGCAGCGGGGGTGTCACTCCTGAGCGGCCCGCCAGTGCGGCGGCCAATGACGAGGAGGAAGAGGTGGGTGGGGGGGGTGGCGGGGCGACCCCGCATGGAGAGCTGGCACTGCACAACGGGCGCCTGGGGGACTCGCCCAGCCCTCAGGTCCTGGAGTTCGCAGAGTTCATCGACAGCCTTTTCAACCTGGACAGCAAGAGCAGCTCCTTCCAGGACCTCTACTGCATGGTGGTGCCCGAGAGCCCCACCAGTGACTATGCAGAGGGCCCCAAGTCCCCCAGCCAGCAGGAGATCCTGCTCCGAGCCCAGTTTGAGCCCAATCTGGTGCCCAAGCCCCCGCGGCTCTTTGCCGGTTCAGCCGACCCCTCCTCGGGCATCTCACTGTCACCCTCCTTCCCACTCAGCTCCTCAGGCGAGCTCATGGACCTGACGCCCACGGGCCTCAGCAGCCAGGAGTGCCTGGCGGCAGAAAAGATCCGGACCTCTACCCCCACTGGCCATGGGGCCAGCCCTGCCAAGCAGGATGACCTGGTCATCTCAGCACGCTAGCACCCCAGCAGTGGCTGCCAAATGTGGCCCAAGCCAGAGAAGGCGGCCCTGTGGGCACCTGGTGGCTGCCCCCAGGCCAGGCAGCTTTGAAGAGTGGCCCCAGGGGCCAGTTTAGCCTCAGACATAGGGCATTGCTGCTGAGCTGGGTGTCTGCATCCCTACCTCAGCTTAGGACCCCCAGAGCCAGAGCCAGAGCAGCTGGGATCTGGCCCCTCAAATGGGGAGAGATGGAGAAGGGCATGGAGCAGCCTGGGGAGACTGCCACATAGGCAGGTGTACTCAGCCCTCGGCCTGACTGCCCCCCACGGGGGCATCCTGGCACCCTCTGTTGCAGGACAGGCATGGGTAAGCTGGCTCCCACCACTGCCCTCTGGCTGCTCTCCCAGGGCCGAGGTGGCTCATCTGTGGCCCAGGCTGGCATCTGCCCTGGCCACCCCCAGATCTGGTGCCTGCTGGCCAGCCCCCTGGGGTGACCCCTCACCAGGGTGGCCCACAGTGCTGTATATGTTTACAGAAGCTGCTGGGTCTGGCTCAGGATGTGTCCCGGGCTTGCAAACCCCCTGCCCAATCGTGTCCAGTAGCCCCACTCTGGACAGGGCCCAGGTCAGCCAGAGACCTGGAGGAGGGAGGGTTCAGGACCGCCCCTTCTCTGCATGGTGCCCCCCATTCTGATCCCTCTGTTGATGGATTGCGGGCATCCAGGCCTGCCCCACCTGCCCGCTACTTCCTTGCTCACCTCCTGCCCTCAGGGATCCTGGCCACTAGAAGGGTGGTGGGCACTGCTGTGACCACCCCTGGCTGCAGAGTCAGTGCCCTGGGAGGAAGGAAGGCACCCAAAGGCCCCTTCCCCTGAGGGCCTTACCTAACCCCTTTACATGACCCCCACCATGCCTAGGCAGCTCTGGGCCCTGTAATCTGAAACCAAACACGCCTCTGCCCCCCTCCTGAGAGCCAGGCTTTCTCCCCTCTCACCTCCAATGTCCTCTTGGCAGGAAGTGGGGCTGAAAGTGGGGTTTTGTGGGACATGGCAGGAGATCCTCTGCCTACTTGCCCAGGGGAGGGACCAGGAGGACCAGGAGCTTGGGGGATGTCCTAATTTAGCCTGAGGCCCCCATAGGGGTTCCTTCTCTATAGGGTTTGGGAAGCAGTTGGGAGGTGGTGACCTGGCCCTTCCCCAGAGGCAGGGGTAGAGGAGGTCGTGCATGCTAGTGTCAGGTGTGTGTGTGCATGTGCATGAGTGTGCACCATTCCTGAGGAAGGGGCTGCTGGGGGCCGCTCACCCTACCTGCCCTGCCCGCATGCTGGGGCCTGGGAGGCAGGGCCGCAGGACAGTGCAGCTTCGGACAGCACCTGTTGCCCTGTCTCGCCTGTGGCTCTCACCCCTGGTGTGAGCCCAGGTGCTGCCGTCTTGCTTGTGCCTTCCTGTCCTGGAGGCATGGTCCCTCCCACTCTGGCCCCGCCCACAGCCTCCCTGGGTCGCCTAGGCTCCCCTGACCAAGACCCCCCCATCTCATGATCACTGGTGTCTGGGGCCTGAATCCTGACTCCTCCACACCCACTCCACACACAGCTGGGATTGGCCTGCATGGCTGCCCTCAGAACACCTGCCTACCCTGACAGATAGGGACAGAGACCTGGGAGCTGGGCCTCCCCTCATTCTCTGCAACTCCTACCCTCACCAGACTCCAGGAATCCCTGCCCCTGCTGAGGCATGGCCTCAGCCCAGCACAGAAGCAAGGTGGAATCAGTGGCTCTTAGAGTTTAAAAAACAAGACAAAATCTTAAATCAAGTACCCCAGCCAGTAGCAGGGAGACTTGGTGTCTGGCCTTTTAATTCCTTCTCTGCCAGGGTGGGTCCTGGGACCTCTAAGGTGGGTGTGTCACCCACCCATGCCCAGGACTGAGTCATCAGGGACAGACCCCCCCACCCCCAAGGCTGCAGCCACACTGTGTTACAGGCTTGGGGCTGGGGCAGGCTTGGACTCAGCCCTGGACACTTGGGAGCAGCCCACCCCTAACCTGCCCCCTCCCTACCTAGCCCCTGAAGGATGGGCCTGCTGCACGTCTCCCTCCTCCACCCCATACCACATTTGGGGGGTCTGAGCCACCCCCCTCAGCCCAGCTCGGCTCAGACCAACCCCCACTCTGTTCCCCAGACCCGCAGCACAAGCTGTCCCAGCCGTGTGCTGGCCTGACCTACCAGGGGCCTGGACGACCTCCATATGCAATCGGTAGTGAGCCGCCGGGCCCCACAGACCCTCATGCACTCTCTACGTGCCATTTTCCCGTGACTCTTTTTGTACTTAATGTATGAAAGATCCAAACTAATATTGCTGTAAAAAGGAGAGACAAATTAATATAGCTTATTCTATAAATATATCTGTATATAAAGGTTTCTGTATATTGTATAGAACTGTGTATAAACTGGATGTAGAAGCACTCTGGCTGCCTTGAGTGACCTCTCTTCCCATCAGGTGGGGGCAGGGGAGTTGGGGACTTGCCAAAGTTACAGCAGAGTGGGGGGAGGGGGACCTCTTCTACTGTGCCTTGGACAAACCAGAAAGCCTAAGAGGGAACTAAGGTTCCTTAGGACCAGAGCCCATTCTGACCTCAAGGATGCAAGGTGTGTTTGGGTGGTTTAGATACAGCCCAGTCTGAGGCTGAGCATTGGGTTGGAACTGCATTTTTCAAAGTTCGCTATGCGCAGGACTCACCTGGGCTCTTTTTAAAATGTAGGTACTGGGTCAGTGGATCTGAGGTGGGGCTGAGTCTGCATTTCTAATTGGCTTCGCTCTGCCAATGCCCTGGCCTAGGACCATGCTTTGAGTTGCAGTGAGGGAGCAGGAGATCCTCATACCCCCGTGTGAATGACAGCAGCCACTGGTGGGGTTCTGTCTGCCTTGAAAGATATCCCTTGTTAGCTCCTTTTTCCTCCCTGAGGGGTCTGAGGCTCAGAGACGGAAAGTAAGCTGCAGAGCTGGTGATTGGGGTACTGGGGTGGACTGGGCCTGCCCCCACACCCTACACCCCAGTGCAGGGGTGGAGCATCCCAGTAGGAAAGCACTGAAATGCAGGGGCCACTCCAAATCTTTGCCGAGGGTTTCCCTAGGAGGGTGCAAAATACCTGGCCAGGCCCAGGGCACCCCAGGATCCCCAACCCGGCCTGGCTCCAGGGCAGTGAGGCCTGGGAAGTGGCCAGAGGGCAGGTGAGTAGGCAGCTGGGCTCCTACCTGCCCCCTGCCCAGGACCTGCCCCCTCCACACACCAGGTGGCGCTGTTCCTCCAGCCAGTGCCGCCAAGGCCGCAGAGTCTGGCCCAGGCACTGACCCAGCCAAGTTTTGTCCCGACCTTCCCTTCCCCGCCCTGTCTGCCCCCCGCCGCCCCAAGTCTAGAGTGACCCTCCTCAGTGAGGGGTTGGTGGTGGTGGGGAGGGGGCGTGATGGAGCAGTGCTTTTGCCTTAGAGCCTGTCTTCATCCATGGCCTCTGAGCAGAAGAGGAAACTGAGTCCAGATAAGGGGGAAGACCTGCTCAAGGTCACACAGGAGGTGGAGACAGACGTCGGACCAGAATCCAGGCCTCCAGGACCGTCACTCTGGCCTCCACCCTCACCTAATGTTTTCAGAGGTTCTTCCCACTCTGTGGTCTCACCGGTCTGCAAATTCTGTCCAGTTAGTGGAGCAGAAGCAGAAGAAACTGAGGCCCAGAGAGGTTCTGTGGCTTGCCCAGGGTCACACAGCCAGACAGTGGAATGGGCAGGGGCACTCGTGAGTGGCAGTGCTGGGAGGGACTGGAGCATGGCTTTCTGCCTCCTGGTCCCCACTCAGGACCGCGGACGGCCCCTCCCGTCTTAGCCCCCGTGGTCTGGGAGGGAGGTCTCCCCTGGCCCAGGGAGGCCGTGCCCCTGCCTCACTGACTCGCTGGGTTCACACTCGCCACCTGCGGGCCTTCCTCTCTAACTCTGTGAAATGGGCTGGGGCCAGGGCTGTGTGTGCCCACAGGGGGCCGGCAGTGCTGAGGCAGGGAGGACAGGGCTCCACCGTCCCCTGGGCTGACCTCCATGCCCGTTGCTCATCAACCCTCAGGTCTCTGCGTCCCTCCTCCCAGTGCTGCCTTCTGTCCACAGCCTCCATTTAAAGCACCATTTACTGATCACTTACCTGGCACTTCACCTACATTGTGAAGAGGGAATAATGGGCTGTGCTTTACAGAGGAGGCCTCCAAGGACCAGAGGCAGGCCTGGGAGAATGGGCTGAGCTGGCCACAGGGGACAACCAACAATCGGTCTGCTGGGCTGGGGCTAAAATCCTGGTCCCTCACTCATTATGGCTTGGGGGTGGGGGACACAGATGGAGCCTCATTTCCATGGATGGGACCCCTCAAGGTCCTCAGGTGCAAACTTCCCTGGGGCTCCTGCACCAGTCCCAGCCTCTGCCCTGCCCCAGCCCCTGCCCCAGCTGGGCTTGGGCCCCAACTTCATTATGGAGTTGGGGGGTGGCAGCCTCGACTCTTGGCTGAGCCCTCGAGTCTGGGACATTTCAGCCACCCTCCCTGCCCCAGCCCAGAGATGAAATCCCTGGGGATAGTTGCTCCTTTGCTCAGTGACCTAGTGGGATCAGGGGAGATGGCAGGGTCTGAGCCCCTAGCCAGGCCAGCTCCCATGAGATTAACAGGAGGCTCCATCCCACCCCGCCTAACTTAAAGGCTACCCCAGAGACTGAATACTTTATAATCGTAATAATGAAACTTTGGGGTGTTAGGGACAAAATAAGTGTCTTCCCTACTCCTAGCCCTTAATGACCAGGACAAGGGCAATGCTTAACTCATTGGACAGCCCTTAGGTGGTGGACATGTAGGCACCATGTGGGCTATGAAGGAAAGACCTGTGGATGGGTGGAGGCTCACAGAGAAGCTGGTTTCCCAGCTCATTCTGGGCAACTCATAAAACAGATTCATTTTTAAAGATTGCATGGTGTAGGCGGGTGTCTGCTTTGTCCGCCGGCAGGCTGACCCCGGGTGGAGGAGGGGGCAGAGCGGAGAATAACAATTGTCTTAAGGGAGTCTGCAGAGGGAGAAAAACCTCTGGGGTGTATCGGCTGGGAAAGAATAGGCGTCTCAGTGTGCCCCTCTCCCCCCTCTCAGCCCAGCCCCTGTGGGGGGGCAGGAGCATCGGTCAGCACCCACAGCTGGGGCCTCCAGCAAAGTCCCATTCTATATATCTGAGAGCAACAGCTCAGAGAGCAGCCCCCAGAGGGACAAAACCTCATTGTGAGGTGCCTGCCGGCCGGGGCGCTCCCTCCCCCAAGCCCAGAACTGTCGTGGCATTGACCCTCCTCGGCGGGCTACCACGGGCCTGCTGACTGGGCCACATCTGGGGCTCAGGCACTGGCTGCCCCTCCCCCTCGGCTGGCTACTGAGGAGGGGGAGGGAGGCTTGGGGTGGAGCTGCCTCAAGGGCTGTCACCCTGTCCCCACTGGACAGCCTAGCTTGTGCCCCACCCTCCTCTGGGGGCTACGGCCAGGCAGAGATGAGAGTTCTGGGCTGGCTAGGTTGGCATCTTGTCCTGCCACAAGGCCCCCCACCCCTCTGGGCCTCAGCTCTGGGCCTGTCATCTGCCAAACAGTAGGGGGTGGGATAGGTTTTTCCAGCTCTGACTTGCTGGGTCTAAGGGTCTAAAGAGGCTGCAGGTTGAGCCGCTCTGCAGTGAGATGATTCGCTGGGTCTGAGACTCCAGATTGCTTGATTCCACGGTTTCAGAGGACTAGGATTCTGTAGTTTGAAGATCCCAATGTCCATTCATTCAATGCATACTTATTGAGCGCCTACTGTGTGCCAGGTAGTATTCTTTTTTGGGGGGGGCAGCTGGTGACCTACTCTTTGATGGGTGTTATAACACTGTGCTCTAACCAACTGAGCTAACCAGCCAGCCCACAGGTAGTGTTCTTGGTGTTGAAGCTATAGCAGTGACCAAGAGTGACTAAGACAGGAACATCTCTTGCCTTCATCAGGCTTCCATTCTAGAGTGGAGAGAGGATAATAACAAAAAAGAAATAAAAATATTTAACATGGTGAGAACGGCCTAGGTAGGAAAGAAAAACCTGGGGAGGGGAACTACTTCAGGCAGGGTGGTGAGGGAGTGAGGTGTGAGCTGAGACCTGGCTGCTGAGAAGGAAGCAGCCATGTGGAATGTGGGGACAAGCACTGTAGACAGATGGAATAGCACATTGCAAGGCCCTGCAGCAGGCATGGGCTGGCATGTTTGAGAGATGGCAAGTCTAAGGGCTTGGTGGCTGTGATTTAGCGAGCAGTGGAGAGAGAGGTAGGAGCTGAGGTCAGTGGTACAGGCAGGGGCAGATCTTACAAGGATTCAGAAACCAAGCCAAAGGGTTTATATGTTTTGAGTGCAAAGGGAAACCACTGGTTTTAGCAAAGGAATGACATGATCTGATTTATGTTTTAAAAAGAGTGATTTGGGGGGCCGGCCCGGTGGTGCACTGCTACAGTGCGCCGCTTGGGAGTGTGGCGGCGCTCCCGCCGAGGGTTCGGATCCCACATACAGACCGGCCGCTCACTGGCTGAGCGAGGTGTGGGCGCAACACCGAGGGCTGCGATCCCGTTGCCGGTCCCGGTCCGGTACGGGCGCGACACTGAGGGTTGCGATCCGTTGCCGGTCACGAAAAAAGACAAAAAGGACAAAAAAAAAAAAGAGTGATTTGGAAGGATTGTAGAGATTAGTGAGGAGAGAGGCTGTATAGCTGGGCAGGACAGATAAGGAGACACTAGTAAGGTGGAGGCAGGGACAAGGGCAGTGGGTTTACCCAGGACATACTTGGAGATAGAACCTCAGGTCCCGCTCTACCAGACAGGGCAGCAGTAAATGATCGTGCTGATCCCTGGGTCAGCCAGGATGTGGCTCTGAACCCTAATGACCTTGAAATTCTTAGCCCTGCATTGTCCAGTACCCTAGCCATATGTGACTATTTAAATGTAAACTAATTAAAATGAAATAAAATTGAAATGTCAGTTCCTCAGTCTCCATAGCCACATTTCCCATGCTCAGTAGCCACCTGTGGCTTGTGACTGCCATACTGGACAGCACAGAGACCATTTCCATCATCACAGAAAGTTCTACAGGACAGCACTTCTTCAGACAGCTCTTAACCTCACTAAGCCTCAGTTTCCTCGTCTGTAAAACGCAGGTAATAATAGTATCTCTTTGGTAGGGTACCAGTGAGGATTAAACGTGATAATAACGCCTATAGAGTGGTAGAGCGGACCTAGCACATAGCAAATGTTCATTAAATGCGGGTTATTATTGCTGAGCTGGTGGGTTGGTAACTAGGGGATCAAGGGGATGTCTCTGAGGTTTGGTCCTTAAAATCGAAAATTCAGAATTCTAGTATCTTGCCCTGCCCAAGGAGAGGGCGAGGACGGCGGGGGC